CTAATCTGTAGAGGCCTGGGGGAGGGTCCGACCTCCCAGGACCTCCGAGAACCCGGAGGAGTTTGTGGCGTGCTCTTTGGTGGTATTTGCGGATTTACTTGGAATCGGCACTCAAAGCTCGGGGAATTCGGAAGGACGAATATCTCGAGTTATATGGAAACTTTTCGGGTGGTGGTTCTTCCTTGGCCCTGAGCGACAAAATTTACCTTCTGCGCCGAATTTATTATTTCTCCCTACATGAACTTCCTAAAGAAATATATCGGCTCTGGGGGAATTCATTTCGTAGGAATCGTTGGGGTTGCAACCTTAATCATGGCAGGTTAAGGCGATGCGAAAGGGACGTTCGAGAGGTCTCGTTTATGAAACATTTTGATGAAGTCGGTGCACCGGATCCTTTCAAGTTTTACAACGTGAATATAGAGGCTATAAGGAAAACCCTGACATCCATGAAATTATAATTTATTCAAAATCAATCACAACTTCATCTACTATTTATTCAGCCGCGATCGGTTATCCCTCGGGATCTTATTGACGTAGGTATACCCTAGTAGCACAGAATAATTTCTAAATATTTCTTTGCAGATTTATTCGAAGATATTTTAAATATTTGTTGAAAATCTCAATGACATATTTAGTTTCAATAATTTATGAACATAGAGAAATTATATTTTTTAACTCGTGAACATAATAAAAATACATTTTTTACTTCGCGACTATTATCGAACACTTCAATTGATATCAAAAAACACGAAAAATTTTTGTAATGTTTTCATTCCGCTATTTCATCATGGGAACAAAACGTGTGATTTTGATTTCAAATATTTTTAAAACGTTTATAATGTATTCGGCAGGTAATATTTAAAAAATACTTGAAGGCACTTAAAGAGCGCACGCCCCAATTACTTTTGTTCAACAATTAAGATATTCACCCGTTAACGTTCGTTACATACTCAGTTTTTCCAGATAATCAAATCCATACCGTAAAACACGATCCTAATAGTTCGTACGAAACATACGAGTTTCCGGGAATTGAAAATCCGGTGAAAATTTGCTGCACCGGAGAATCAGCATCCGGAAACCCGTTGGAGCCCCTCTCTATCCTGGGTACCCCTGAGGGTTTTTTTTTTGTCGCGAAAAATTCTAGAGACCCCGTAAAGCCCCATTTTTGTATCCGGTATCGACTATAGGTTCGTCACGGATGCCACTCGTCGGTCGCGTTCGACGAGCGGTGAGTCGATTTTTCTTCCTCATTTTTTTCCTCTTTTTTCCGTATTATTTTTTCCCTCCCTCGCATCCGCGTATTCATCGTCGCAGACCCGGCGATATTGTGTATTTGAGAACGTACCCCGTGATTTCGCTCCGATAACACGATTACGAGCCCCCGTCCCCACCCTACTACCCCACCGGCCCCGGCAGCACCCCTCGCCCCCTACGGCCCTGAACCGACAGAGTAGCTCCGGTCGCTCTGATCCCTTGCAATTACTTCCCATTATCTGGGTATTAGGATTCACCCCAACTACCCTACCGGCCACCCTGGGCCTCTTCTCGACTACTTGCACCAAGTAGGGCCGGCTTTCGTCGAAACGCGACCAAATCCGCCGACCCGCAACAGGTTCAGAAACCTGCGTCATTTGACTGTTACCTAATCGCGATGAACGCTCCTATCGGTCTTATCATTCGATTTGGTTCTTCAGAATTACTCGAAAATTCGGTTATCATTCCTAGGCTGTCTTGCAGGATGAGAAACGAGACCAGCTTCCTTCAAGATGCTGGACCAGATCCATCGATCTGCGAGGGATTTAAAAACGTGTATCACTTGACTATTGTTGATAAACACCGAATCGTTTGAAAATTTATCACGTACATGTGGAGGCTCTAGGGAAGACCCTGACACCCATGAAATTTCATTTGTTTAATTTGTTTATAAACATTTTTAATTTCTTATAAAATTTACATTTGTGTACAGGGGTTGGGAGCTTTCTTAGAGCCTCCACTTTCAAGTGATAACATCTCAAGTGATTTGGTGCATCCAGTTCCGAGGAAAGCTTCGTACATGAAACCCACGGTGATTAAACTGCCAGAGTTAATTTATATACTCAGTCATCGGTTATTTTGATGGCCGAATAAATTGCAGTAAAATTACCGAGTCTCTGTAATATCACATTTAGCATCTCTAAGTTAAGTCAAAGAACATTAAAACGTAATATTACATTTAACTCAAGTAAAAATCCACCGCTACGGTGAATGTACAATGTCACGTGTATTTACACATTTTCTAATTTGTTACTTTACTATGAGATGTGTAAAGATGAATATAAAGAATCGATGACTCTTCAATTTAAGAAGTTCCTATTTTTATTCGTTAGTTTCTCTATACTTCCGTTTTGCATGATAACATTTGGGAAATAAATTAATCTTATCTCCCGTCACTTTTTGCTACATGCAGGGTGACGGTTCGTGACCCTGCTTAGGTGGTTTTCGGAGTTTAATATCGTTCCTCCATTACGGGCAGTTAGCCGGTCCAGGCCTCGTTAGGACGGGCGAATGTCCTGAAGCGACAATGGCTTGAATGTCACGCTGCCAATTAGCGAGATGATGACAGCGTGTCGGGGCTGCCGTCGCTCTTGACCCGAGACGCCATAAAATGTCAATCGAGCAGCATTTTAACCGCTAATGCCGTCGTAATCGCGTCTTACGATGCACGTTCCCTTATCTCTTTTTGGAGGCTGTCGATAAGGCCGACGTACCCACTTACGGGATTTACCTGGTTTTTCAGATTTTCGTCCCCGATAAGCGCCCTTGAACACAGGCACGAAAGTTTGATAAGAAACTAGCTTACGCTAGGTTTGTGCGATTACAAACAAAGTGACGATACGATCGTTCTTATATATCCAGTGGATACAACAGTGAAATTATCTTTGGAAAAAAACGGTTTTGAGGTGTCACAAATGCAAAAGAATCGGCTTTTAGGATTTGCAATCAGTTTCCGCATAGGTGGATGATTTTTAATAATTGATGTGGTCGTCGAGTTGCGCCACTGTAAATAGTTTCTTGGTTAAAATTTAGAAAAAAGTAAATAAGTAAAAAGGACTGTTAATAGAATTCTTCTTCTGAATGGCTCTTTTTTAGTTGTTACTTTGAACCTGCGTTTCGTGAATTACTAATTATCACGTGCCAGTGATTAATGTTCGGGGACGTTAATGGGAGAAGTAAAGAGAAAGGAACGTTCGTAACTCGTCGTGTGACAATTTAATATCAACAAAACCACTGGCTACTTTATACACTTTGCTATAAAAACTCATATCGATCGTAAACTAAACACGTCCATTGTGTCTTTATCCCGTTTTCTGGGGATTCGACGATTCCGTCGCTACGTTGCATGTTGGTGCGTTTCACGAAGAAAAAAAAAAGGAGTCTCACCATTGTCACTCAATGTTTTACTCTCCTTTCATTGAGTAAATGTCCGCACTTCTTTCACATCAATTAAACAACCACTGTGTCTTTACCTTTGTCCCACTAAGAGAATATTAATTTTTTTATCACCTGTCTTTCCTCAGGTTAAAGAGATGAAACGGTACCACAAGGTGAGTTCGGATCATCGGATGCAAGTCTTATTACAGTGCATTTAATGTGATCACATTGTCAAGGCTTCTCAAGAATGTGTCCCAGGATCAAGGATGATCCATAATGGAGTTGGGATCGAGGACAACGTTAAATCGTCCAACAATGTTATTTCAAGGTTCGTCAGAATGTTCCAGTAGCCTTGTTTAATTACGTTCTCACATTTTTATGTCGAGGTCCATCACCATCCTCTCATTTAATAATGCTTTCACTCATTACCATTTTTTGTTAAATATACAGAACTTTGTTGCACCGAAGTTGGACAGTTTGTTGCCGATGAAAATCATCAGCGCAGCACTCGTCAGCGTAATTTGTTTTATGAAGAACGTGAACAATTCCACGTTGAACTGTTCGATATGGACGTTTTTGAAATGAAGATGTATCTGAGGGAAAAAATTGTCCGACGTTGGGGTGATATTTTTTAACAAAAATCGGCACTCTTGATTGGGTGTTTCAAGAACTCCGTAATTCATCATGTCGAAAAGTTATTGATCCATCATTTGGGCGATTCATAGGAGAACATGGTAAAAGAAATCCATTAGGAGACTTTAAAGTCAGGTGAAATCTGTTTCATGTGTCTTCATTTTCTTTTTTTATCAGTTGAAGAATTCACTTAGAGTGGGTGGTCATTTTAAATCAACCACGCTATCTGCATGTAGCTAATTTTTGAGTTTTCTAGCAGATTCAGGATCCGAAGACATTGAAATATCGCAGATCAACGCAAATCTCGATGATCTACGAACATTCAACGATCCAGGTTGAAAAAAAATCTCAATGTTGCCTTAAGGTCCGTGGCACGTGATGTTGCCGAAACTTTGTATTTGCAGAGATGCGGTCGCCAGTGCTGCAGACAGCCACCAAATGAAGCTTTTCATTTTGTCAGAAAATCCCACAATGAAGAATTTCCCCTGGTCAGATTTGGGCGCTGAATATAGATGATCTCCAATCAGCTGCGGAATTTATCCTGCGGTTTCTTCCATGTTAATCCCTTCCCTTCCTGTCGTAGAGTCTGAAGATCCAGATTCCATCGTGAGCAGAAGACTAACGATGATCCCAGCCAGAAGTGGTCAGATTTAGGCACCGAATGTAGATGATCTCCAATCAGCTGCGGAATTTATCCCGCGGTTTCTTCCATGCTAAACCCTTCCTTTACTGCCGTAGAGTCTGAAGATTCAGATTCCATCGTGAGCAGAAGAGTCATGATGATCCCAGCCAGAAGTGGTCAGATTTGGGTACCGAATATAGATGATCTCCAATCAGCTGCGGAATGTATCCCGCAATTTCTTCCATGTTAAACCCTTCCATTCCTGCCGTAGAGTCTGAAGATCCAGATTCCACCGTGACCAGAAGACTCACGACGACCTCAGCCAGAAGTGGTCTCAGCGATGCTGTCGTAAGGTCTGGGGTACGTGATGCTGCTGATGCGTCAGGCCCACAGGATGTGGATGCGAAGGATGTAGGAAGACGCCAGGTGGGGATCCTCGTCTAGTCAGGTGTAGAACCTGACCAGGTGACGGAGTTTCGTCCCCCAGAACGTCGATTTCGTCCTCCTCCGAGTCGGCAGGGGCGTCGCTGCTGGCTCGGGACTCTCGACCGCCGCTCAATGAAAAATCTACCGGCCGTTCTGCTAACATTATTCGCGTTAACATCTCTCGCGCTCAAACGAGAGGGTAATACTGAAACCTGAGACCTCACTCGCAGGAAAAAAAAACGTATTACGCAAGTCGGGCTCTGTAAGCTCCTTTTCCCGCACGTGGCGAATGGGGATGCTGGGCGCAATTCGCGGTGGGTAAGCAAAATTTGACATATTAGACTGCGAAAAGAATTACCGAATTAATTATACCGCGGGATGCTCGGGAAACGGATCAGCGACCGTGAGGCTAAATACTCTTCTGGACAATCTATCAGATTTTTAACGTGAGAATCCTTTCTTACGTCCTGCCTTGTAAAATCCGTGCCAGATTTTCCTGCTGGTGAGGCCTCATACAATGACACGTTATTTTTCTTTTCATAATTATGTAGGGACATGTTTAGATATTTAGAATTATCCGTAAGGCTTGGGATTCGATGTGATAAATGTTTGTGCAACAGGGTGCTTTATCGTTTCAATTATCGTTATTAATGCGGAGGTGTTAGGAAATGTATTAAAGCTGGAATCGTCTTAGCTGACGCTTTCTTCGAGGAGAAGACGCACTCTTTGACGAGGAAAAGATCGTTCGTCGTCGTTAGTACTCCGTAACGCTGTAAATAATATTACCCCGCGAATAATGAACGTTTCCCGCACTAATGGCATCAGTATGGAGCCTTGATCGATTATGGAGACAACGAGGGGAAAGAGAGAGGAATGTCTTTAGCTGAGAATAAGTTAAATGCCACCTCTTTTTTTACGCTTTCGCTATCATTGTCACCGTCATGGGGCTTGCGAAAAGAGGAGGAAAAATTCAAGACCCGAGAGAACGGGACGGTAAAGTGTCGCGTAATGGAAGATTACCGACGTTGCGGGTTTTTCGCGTCGCGAGATCGGTTAGAAAGGTCGATTACGAACCATGAGAAAAAGTGAAGATCTTTTTTCATTGACGTTTCAAATATCAAGATAAATTTACAAAAAAATCCCTTAATTTGGACATAATATTTTGTAAGTCGATGCGAAAACTTTTTCTACGATTTATGACAATAATCAAGATTTCTTCATCGTTTTAAATTTTAAAGAACTGGAATATAAAATCCGATTTAAATGCGTTACAATAACAGCGCTGGCGTTGACATATAGATCCCTGTTTACATTTTCCATTTCTAATTAAAAACCTCTTTTCTGGAATTTTTAAATATGGGACATTCACTTGAAGCAATTTCAACCCATTAAGATAATTCTACGCCTACCTCCCGGCTTTCTCTCTGCTTCTCATATATTTTTCTTTTTACAAGTCGACACTCTTCTATTTAAACAGAATGAAATGTTTAAAAATGCCTGGAAATGAATGAAATGAAAATATGCCTGAAAATGAATTAAATGAAAATGTCACGAAAACGTTCCAAGCTACCCTCGAATTGACAGAAACAAAAGCATATCCTCAATGAGAGTATTAATTTACGACGGATAAATACCGAAAAATGGTAATTTCAACCTATATTTTTTGACTCATAATCTACGTTCATTCCTTGACTCCCAAATTTGTTGTGCTTTCAAAAATGTACAGCCCCGCTTTTTCTCCGTTCATGAAAAATCCTTTATACGTGTTTCCCTTTTTCACCGCGCTTTATGCCGAGGCGATTTAAAGGACCCTCGTCTAGATCTGTAATCGGCGCACCTTGCAGACCTAACCGGTAACGTATCAGCGTCGAATCCGGGTCTGGACGAGCACTTAGCCGATAATTGAGTAATTTTCTCGAAGACCGAATCGAGGAGAGGCCCGAGTGTCTCTAACCCCTCGTCCGTAGCGAGAGTCAAGGCGGTCTCCTTAGCATCCCTCGTCTTGCCTCCGAGGAAGACGCCTCGGTAACTTCGTTAACCCTCCTCCAGGACGGAGCCATCTTGGCTACGCCAAGTAACCGGAGTTAGGCGGATGCGATGCGGTGACTCCAGATTCTCTCGGGTGTACGCGTACGTAGAAAGTGATGCAGTTATCTTCAATTACCGAGCGAGTCACGATTGCGTTATCGCAACAACTCTGGCCCGGTCGAGCGCGAACGCTTCGCGGCCTTACGGAGGTATTAAGGTGAAGTGAAACACGTCGAGGATCTTGATCGACGTCGGTGAAAAAGGTTCTTATAAATACCTACGTTGCCGACATTCTTTTTTATACTGACAACTGTTTTGAATTACATTAGGTATTGTACTAAATGGCATACTCGATCTGTCGTTTTCTTACAATAATTATAAAGAAATTGAAATAAAACTCGAGAAATCCTCTAGATTCGTGGTTTCTGAGGTCCTAATTGACTGCAGAGGGACACTGCGCCATCTGTGATTTCCGTGTCAACTAAATGTTAACTCCGGGACCTCGTGTTACCATCGTTTTAGCATAGAAGCGCATAAGACACTTTTTACTGCCTTTATCCCGTTCAAATGCGAGTTTATCGGTTACCAGAGTGTTCTAAATTGTCGTACAATTTTCCTGACACTTTCGTTTCTCATATTAGAGCCTTTAATAATTAGATATCGATCGAAATATGAGAGCTCGACGCCCTTTTGGTTCTGCTCTGGGCTAAATTAAAAATTTGTTTTCAAAAATCCGATTTTTGAAAGTGCCAGGGTAATTCCTAGGTGCTCACGAGTCATGTGTCAAAGTTTCAGACGGTTGTATCCAATATCCTTAAAAAAAAGTGTCTTATTCAAATCGACTGATTTTGGGGGGTTTCACTTCACCTTAAAACGAGGAAACGGCCGGAAGGTTCCCCTGTTAAATCGTGGAGGTTGGATGACCGGATGAATGGTTTGTAAGATACGGAAGAAAGTATTCAAGAAAAAAGTAGGAAAGAATTTATCCAAGAAGAGTGGCAACCCCCTCCAAAAGCTTCGTTTCTGCGAGTGAACCTTGGAATGACATCGCAAGCAAAGTTTGACATAACGTTACAAGGGAATGTTAGTAACGTAATCACAGTCATTGTTTATAATCATCTGCCATCTAGAAGGCTGTCGCTAACGTTTTTGTAAAAACGACAAACGAGGTTGGCAAAGAACGGAACTTTTCGAATGATCTAACACAATGAACATGTTCCAAACTAAAGAAGTCTTGGTGGCTGATTTTCTGATCGATCTGAGGGATCTAGGGGTTGGTTTGGGAGGAAAAAGGGAATTCTATGAAGCTTATGGAAGGTGTTAAACAAAGTTAAAGAGAAACTGGATGTACCTGGAAAATAATGGAGCCTGAGTGGCTGATTTGATGAGACTGTTCTGATGGCTGATCCGGAAGATTGGACCCTGCGATGGGCTTGTAAAATGTATTGAAATAAGAAAACGATTGATACGATGATCGATTTGTGGAGAATCGGCAAAAGGAAATGTATCTCTGAAAGGTATTAAATTGAAAATGAGTTAAGCTAGGAATAAATGGAGGAATAAATTCGAGTCTAGGTGGCTGATTTGATTACGGATCTAACGGATGATTCGATGGTCAGTTTACAAGGAGACTGAGAACGCTTTGTGGCATCCGAAACATATTAATCCAGGCCAACAAGTTGCATGTAACCATGGAATAATTGAGTCTCGGTTGACCCATTGGTCAGTTTGCTCGGAGGAACGCGCAGTTCGAGATCTGGATTCATTTCGCGGTCTGTGAAAGGTATTACAACGACTAAACTATCAACCGCTTCTAATAGGAATAATTACTCATTCAAAGTCGAATTACTGACTAATAACAGAGCCAAACTAGAAATGATCCGGCGGTCAGTTTAGCCCCAGAGATACGTAATCGAGAACTTCGAACTCCTAGACACACACAACTTGAGTATTGTATACATTCTATACATTATCGGTTAAAATGTAAGTACTCCAAAATTGCTGGGAAACCGCCCAATCATCTGATCATCCGAGAAGCTGGAATTTCCCGCAAATCGTTACAAATTGCACAGTTTGTTGTAAATTAGCTAGAATTGTCCAGATCATGGCATGGCACTGTTCAAACAGGCGTCACTGGGAAAAGTTCGAGATATGCTCAAATGTCGCATTATAGTATCTGAAAAATTTACCACTAAGCTACCGGCCACTTTTAAGGGAAATAATTATTAACTTCTAGTGGAATACGATACTAACTAATACCAGAGCTAATAAATTTGTTTTTACAAATCCGAAATCGATTGTTTCGAACTTCTCGATACGTACGACCTGAGTGCTGCATATATATATATGCATATATGCTTTTATAGGACATCATAACAAAATGTGTAACTCTGAATAGAGGATTGTTCCATCATTTGGAAAGTTTGAATACCGCGCAGATCGTTAGAAATTGCATGGTTTGTTGCAAATTGTCTCGAATTAGCCGGCAGATCGCGGCGGCGTTATCACAAAGAGGCGACAATCGAGAAAGGTCGAGGTGCGCGCAAGTGCCAACACCTCGTGGCTTCTGAAAGGTATTAAAACGACTAAACTACCAGCCACCTCTAACTACGGAATAATGGAGTCAAGTTGGGTTACCGGGGCGATGATATGGCGGTCAGTTTGCTCGGAGAATCGCGCAGTGGGAAACCTAGAACTCCTCTCTGCACCTACACAGGACACCGGTAGGTGCCGGTCATGTCGAGTACGTACTCTCTCTCTTTCTCTCTCCCTCCCTGTAACGTCATCGTCCACGACGCGAGTAATTCCGAGTAAACTGCGGATCGGTCCATTAGTCAGTTATTCGCGAAACTACTTCGTTACGCAATTAGTTATTCGGATGTTCCTCGTAGAGAATAATGGAGGCACAACGAGGAACGTATATTTTCTACGGTTTTACGCTTACGGGGAGGAATCCAATTTCGCTTACTTGAATGCGCAAATTACGGACGTACCGGGGATTTTGCGGAGCGAAACTCCCCATTTGTTCCTTCATTTTTCGGTTTTATTGATCGGTTTAGTTATTTTTTAAATCGGCCAATTTAACGCTAGATTTATTATTTAATGCGATCGAAAGGGAAGTAAACGTGATAAGATTAACGTTATATTCACGCGGTAAAAATTTCTCTGAAATTACGCATCGGCGAGACGATTTTCCGACATTACAAAATTTCTTGCGACAGGAATTTTCATTCGATTCCGAAAGTATGTACTTCAATATTCATTTGATTAAAACTGGTTCAATTAATGTTTCGGGGATAAAAAAAAGAATTACCTTTAATATTGATTTTATTAATATTGGTCCAATTAATGTCTCGGGTAAAGAATTACATTAAACTATTTAAAATAAACTATTTTTCAAGATCTTTACATACCTGCCGAGGATGTTGCAGAGACGGATTGATTGGTACATTGTTGTTGACTCGCGCCCTGACTCGTGCTGTTGCCGGTACTCGTGTTGAGCTTTCTAAGCTGCTTCTTGTGCTTCATTCGTCGGTTTTGGAACCAGGTTTTCACTTGAGTCTCGGAAAGGTGTAAGGCCGCTGCAAGTTCAACCCTTTCGGGAGTACTCAAGTACCTCTGAGCCTCGAACCTCGCCTCCAAGCCGGCCAATTGCTGATCGCTAAATACCTACACATGAATTAGCACATACTTTCAACTGATACATTAACGAGAAAGTTACATCAATTATTTTTCATAACATCCGATGTGACACATTTTTAGGTAAATCAAACACGTCATGACGATGAATAGCTTAAGATGAAGTAAAACACCCTTCAAATCAGTCGCTTCGAATACAACATTTTTTTTTAAGGGTATTAGACCAAACTGTCCGAAACTTTGACACATCACTCCTGATCATCTAAGAATTGTCCTGACACATTGAAAATTTTGATTTTTTAAAAAAATGTTTTAACTTAGTCCAGACCAGACTCAAAATGGCGTCGGGCTCTCATATTTCGATCAATATTCAATTATCGAAGGCTCTGATATGAGAATCAAAAGGGTCAGGACAATTTTACGACAATTTAGAACACTCTGGTAATCGATAAACTCGCATTTAAACGGGATAAAGGCAAAAAAAGTGTTGTATGCCATTCTATGCCGAAACGATGGTAATACGAGGTCAGTCGATCAAGTTCCTCGACGTCTTTCACTTCACCTTAAGATATTTAAAGTTAAAAAAAAATATTACATATCATGTTACTTCTACTTACTAGAGATATACAACCGTAACATAGTGTGGTCGGCAAGAAGGTTCGAAATTTCGATTCGGTCACATTTGTTTCTCCGGCCTATTTTTTAATTTCCTTTCAAAGATATCCCTTGCGAATCATTAGCTAATATGAATTTCTTTGCTTTTCAGTTTCAAATTTCATAAAAAATATGACTCACAGTCCTGGCCTTGCGGCGTCGACAGTGCTTGAGAGCCGCGAGCTCGCTGACTCCAGGAACGACGCCGACGCCGACGCCCATTCCGGCGCTGCCGAAGAGCGGTCCCAGGAAGAAGGCCGCGGCCGGTGGGGCCGCAGGATATCCTGGGAGCAAACTGGCGAATTGCTGGTACTGTTGCTGCTGGTGATTGTGAGATGGAGTCAGGTGGTGATGAAGCTGATGCTGAGAGTGACGAGGCGCGGTGCTCCGACTGAGGATGTCCTCGATAAGGAATGACGTCCTGCTGGCTGAGGTTGCGTTTTGCGGCTGCGGTTGCTGTTGCTGGCAGGTCGACTGCATCGTTGGTTCCCGGGGACTAGTGCGAGGGTGCAGGTCCTTGCATCGCAGTGTCCTGGGAAAGGCACGAGGATGCTCCCGAAACACTGTCGGAGACTTCCGAGTCGGATGTCAAGCGACAAAACTCCGGCGAAAGGACGACTCTCGGCGGATACAATGATCGTTTAGGGTCATTGCAACTTGCACGTAATTTAGGTTTTTATTTGCGGAATTTTCATTCATCAAGGTTACTTCTAGGGAGTTTTAATTCCTGCGATCAAGGGAATTATGCGGCGACGAGTTGCTTTAATTGTTATCCGGCTTTCTTTAGATTAGGGTGGGAGTTTTTGCGTGTGACGCGTGTTACATTTTCATTACGCGATCTGTCGGTCTTTGAAGATTAAGATAATTGATTTTGGTGGCTGTGCTTGTGTAGAATCTCACTTTGGGAGGTAGTAGGGTGGTATCTTCTTGGGGAAATTTCTATATTTAATGTAGTGGGAGTTGTACACTTGGTGTTATGGGTGTTGTATGGTTGGGGAAGGAATCGATTGCTACGGAGTCGCTGCGTGGTCCCTGATTAATATGCGGTTAATGGAAGATATTTGCAGACAGTTTTGATCTATTGCTAATTAAGATGTCGGAATGTTTGTTAAATTAAGAACTGTCCGATGGTAAATATTTGTACTAATGAAACCACTTTCAATGTACAAATGTGTCGAATTGTCACGCGGTTTGAGTCTACGGTTCAAGTGTCGGTATATTTTTAATTTATTATTAATTACTTTGTAATTAAACGGTCCATTAACAGAATGGCACCGCAATGTTACACACACTCCCGACAATTCACTTTATTTTGTCATCTCATTCGAGCGTTTGTTAGAAATTACAAAATACTTCACAGTCAATGTAAACACTTTTCAGGCCTTCACTTTGCGAAAAGTAAGTTTTTGGATTGCCTTTTTATATATTCGCCGATATTCAGACGTCAGAATGTATTCGGATGTTCACAACATTTCTATTGAAAGTCGACAGCACGTTACTTTGCGTATCTCAAATCTTGATAGAAATTTAACTGAACGTTGATAACAGTTTAAGCTGGCAACTGTTAACCATAGTAAACCGTTGACACCATTTAACGAATATGTCGGAATAATGTTCCACATCCTAGGCCTCGTTCTAGGTCTTTTAAGTATCGTGTTCTTCGCTTTCGATCATCCTACAGAATATACTTATCGATCACACAAGTCAAACTTCGCTGTGTAATACAATGTAATTAACAGTTGGTCGAAAATTGAGGTCAAGCGTCTGTTTTTATCAGTGGCTTCGAATTTGACGAAGAATTGACAATAGTCTTGCCTGCCAATTTAAGAATAGAGGATACATCTGGCACCGCTAGATCTCAAGTTCTTAACATTCTTTTATTATAATTTGTAGAAAGTACATTTTTCTGCCACGAAGGAAACTTTGTTGCGTGATCCGATGATACGAAATTGACAAAAAATTAAAATCCCTTAAATCTTGATAACTTGGTCTCGATATGGCAGAATCGTGAAGAGGCCTTGGCAGAGGGTCCACCCTGGTTATTGACTGTCAATCATCGAACGATGTGTTATCATCGGGGTGATAACTTCAAAATATAATGTACTAGCTTTTTCTTGGGTATAATTTCTTTGATGCAGGTCCAGCTGGCAAATTGCACCCTTGTAATTTGTTGGATCACTATCTTGATGTCTCCACTTATTGACAACTGTCAACTTTGTGCTGCTGATTATCCGTATTTTAACCAATCAACGATTTAACGTTTACACGCAGGCGGATGTTCTCTTACATTCAGAATCAGAATCCGAATCCATCAGAAGTCTGACAGAAAGTTGTCTTGACAGAAACTGTAGCAAGTCCAACGCACGTGTTATTGCTTGTCAACTGAGACAATACACTAGAATCGGCAACCGGAAATCGAGCGGGCGAATTCCGTCGTCCACTTTCCTAACATTTCCAATTCTTGACAGTTGCCTACTTTATGTCGCCGATCAGTCGCGATTTAACCAATTAACAATTAAGCATTTACACAAAACCAAAGGCGGATGTCCTCTTGCATTTCGAGGCGGAACTAGAATCCATCATCTGTCGAGAAAGTCTGACAGAAAGTTATCTTGACAGAATGTTATTTTGACAGAAACTGCAAGTCCGACGCACGTGTTATTGCTTGTCAACCAAGGCAAGACACTGGGATCGGCGAACCGCGAATCGAGCGTGTTAATCGCACCCTCGAAATCTATAATCCACTTTTCTAATCTCTCCAATTCTTGACAACTGCCAACTGTATGTTTCCGATAAGCCGCGATTTAACAAATTAACAATTAAGCATTTACACGAAACCAAAGGCAGATGTCCTCTTCCGTTTCGAGTCGGAACTCGAATCCATCATCTGTCGAAAGGTCTGACAGAAAGTTATCCTGACAGAATGTTATTTTGAAAGAAACTGCAAGTCCGACGCACGTGTTATTGCTTGTCAACCAAGGCAAGACACTGGGATCGGCGAGCCGCGAATCGAGCGTGCGACTCTTGCCCCGGGTGTCGGGGCGCCTCGGGGTGGGTTTCCGGGGCTGATCCGCCCCGATTGGTCGGCCGAGCCCCCGGGGTTGGCCTCGACCCCGCGGAGGCGGCACCCCCGGTCGGTCTCTATGGTCACCGGGGGTTCGTTTCACCCCTATAGGCTGCGATCCTCGATCTCGCGCGCCCGAGCTCTAGGCCCGCGTGCACCCACGCGGACCCTCTCGGCCGCCCTCGCGAGGGAGGGATACAAAAGCTTTCGACGTTTCCACGGCGGATATTTACGGCCGATCGTCTGCGTGGGACGTATCGCGGTACTCGCCGCGGTACGCGTGCTCCGCTGCATATTACCTAGGTACGTAGCTGGGGGTCCTCGCGTTATTCCGTTGGCTCCGTCCAAACGCGTCCAGACGACTTCGACCTCTCCTCCCCGCATACCAAGTTTCCTAAAATATCCCGGAAAATTTAAAATTATGCGACACTTTCATAATCATCGATCGTAAATAAGAAATTCAGAACATTAAACATACCCGCGATGCCGAAAGCAGGGCAAAGCGTGGCTTCTTATTTGATGCCTCCCCCGTTATTCAGAAAGTTTATTCGAAATTATTATTAACCCGTTAACCGAGTTGGTTAGATCGTAAATGTGTACTCGAACGACGAGGTAACTCGTCATGTCCAGTTTACCGATTAAAAGAAACAATTCTTATTAACACATTCGCTCGCGGCAAATTTTGTTCCGTTTCAAATACTGAGTACCGGCGAAAATAATGAAATTTGGTTGCCGCAAACTTGTAGCGGCAATCGGGAATAGAATTTAAAATGACGTGAATTCACGTCAGCGGCGACCAGAAATAGAACTTGAAAAGACGTGAATTCACGTCAGTGGGCGCGAATGTGTTAACAAGTGGCTTTTACTTATGGACTCCATATATTCAGTTATTATATTTGGCGTCAAATAGTGCCGAGTAGCACGTGGATGGGAAACTTCGACTTTTGCATTCTTCTCCACAATTGCTTTTAGTTATCGTCTTTCCTTACCGTTTCCGAAAGTCTTGACCAGCCTGCGCCCTTCCGGATTCGATTAAACGTTCTACCCTTCTCTTCACCGCCCTCGCCATCTGGATCTCACCCCTTCTTGATATCACCGAGCGACACGTCCACGGATTTCGGTGAATGTGGAAAATCCGGGAAATAATCGGCAGGGAGGAGACGTCAGGCCGCTGTCGGGCTAACAAGTCTCCGGGGGGCTTCCGGTCTGGCGGGACTTAAGGGCGGTTTCGGGGTGGTTCGACCGCCCCCCACGGGAGGCGCCCTGCACGCGCGGATGGACGGGGCGGACACGCGTCGGTAACACGATTGCCCTGACGTTAATTCACTCAATAATCGCGGAAGCCATCCCGTCTAAATGCCGGCACGCGCCTCGCCTTTGCACGCGCGAGTGCGCGTTACCCTTGCGCAGAAGTACAGGGTTGTCGCGTATCACCGAATTCGCTTTCGACCTTTTCGATCGTCCGATAAGATCACGGCACGTACGTCAGGTACAATTATAAATGATGTAATTAATTCTCGATTGGGATCACTGCAGTCGTGCATCTCGTACTTATAAATAATAATTAGGAATAAGGAAAGCTTTCGCAAGCATTGAAAAAACTGTGTTGACCTAGCGAGGGTATTGGTCAATGAGGAAAATTAAGTTCATTTAAAGAAACGGCTTTTTTCAACCCTTTCGCTACGGTGTGCTGTATTCTTTTGTATTTGTTTATATACAGTTGCTACGTTGGTGACGGTAATAATTGTACAGTGCCTACAAGGGCCAACAGGGCATTGCAAGGAAATTTTCGCAGCGCCCTTAAGTGCCAATGGTAATGAAAGGGTTGTTATTAAAATGTAGGAAGAACGATAAAGTACTCGTAAAGAAAGAGGAGAAAATAATTGTGGCTGTCCCGGAACGAACTTTCGTTGCAAGCATTTCGTGACCTCATATCGAGTCTGGTCTTCATTAGATTTATAGAAAGCAATAGATAGACGATGTAAAATTCACACAGTATTATTTTCTTTTTATAGAGTGCATACAGTGCATTACAAAAGTGCAAATGTCTTGTTTTCCGCATAGGTAGCGCCGTAATGCGTATTATTACGATTATCGAATTGTCCTCCCTCGAACGTTGTGATATGCCCATCTCCCACCCCTGAGGAAAAAATTCTCTATTTTACGGTAAATAATGAAGTACCTTGCCGTCCGGCCCTTCTCGAGTGTACGCAGCGCCGTAATGCGTATTATTACGAGTATCGAATTGTCCTCCCCCGAGCGTTGTGATATGCCCATCTCCCACCCCCTCGGAGCCAGAACGTTGGCCGATTCCCTTATCTCGAATCTAGCGAGCACTTGCTCCGGCCGGTGCTCGCCAGAGTCTAAACAGGGGCAATAAATCGGATCGAAGATGATTCGCCGAGCGGGCGACGGAAGGGGGAGGGGCAGAGGGACCCCGCGGTAATCCAATCCCGCGCCTCCGCTGGTCCTCGTCCGCATCCTCCGCATCCTCCGCCCTTTCGAGATTCGATAGAGGCGTATCGCTCGACGTCGGCGCGGGGAATCCTACCGCCAGGGGAGAGGGGGAGGGAAGCTTTCAGGACTCGCAGTCGACGAGCGATCAACCCGGGGGAGAGGGGGCGCGGATCGAATCATATGTTTCCTCCGAGCTCGAGAGACGTCTAAGTACGAAACGCTGTTTGCTCGGGGATTCCAAAGGGAGCGCATCTTGAGCCAACCTCCGTGGACTGAATTTTTCGAATTCGTCGACTGGAACGATGGGTCGAATTACTTTTTCAAATGGATTTCGTTACGTTAGTTACGTAAGGCTGTGGATGAAAGGTGGATATAGGTTCATTGTAGAGAGATTTGGTGGACGTTTTTGGAATCTCTGGACTTTGATTCGCTGTAAGTTGAATTCCGAATGTTCACGGAACGGAAAATGTTTGGGAAATTTTCGTTTGACTTTTGAAAAGGGAAGGGTGATTACGTAGTCGATACCACGCAACGGTTTACCATCTGCTCTCTTTCTTATAATATTTTTAAAACATTTATTTCTTTCTTACAATGAAAAAAAAAGTTATACCATTGAACGTTGACCCATGAATGATATACTATATATTTCAAGAAGAAGAGAGACCAATCCTCGCTAAAAAAAAAATGTAAATCGAATCCTCCGAGATTCCTCATTCCCGACTTTCGCGAGTGTCGGATCAAACTGCAAGGGCGATTCTTCGGCGGCGTACTTGTCACTTAAAAAATTTCAATTTAGCACACATTACAGTCCTTTTAAGCACGATTAAGCGTTCCGCGATGTAACGTCGTTAGTTTAATGCACCGGCGCGAGGACTTTCACAGCGGCGCTCAAAGCTGTTGAACGGCGCTGAACGACACTGAACGACGCTGAATGACGGTGAATGACGCTGAACGGCGCTGAACAACGCTGAACGAATCTGAACGCGCTGAACGACGCTGAACGACGCTGAACGACGCTGAACGACGCTGAACGACGCTGAACTGCACTGAACGGCGCTGAACGACGCTGAACGACGCTGAACGACGCTGAACGACGCTGAACGACGCTCAATGGCGGCTGAGGACCCCCTGCGAAACGCGCGATAACAATCTCTCCTCCCGTCCAGCCGAGCCAGCTCGTGGGGGATCAAATAAAGCGCGTTATATTACATAACGTTAGGAAAATTTAATAAACATTTCCCGTTGCGTCATCAAAGTGTTACCGCGCCTTCAAAGGCGGCGGGACCTGGCGGCAACCCCTTGCCAACCGGCAGGTGCGCACCCGAGTTCCACGGCCAATGAATCCCTCGGAACCATAGAAGGACGATCCCATAAAGCGACCTCCCGCCAACTACGGATCTAACGGCGAAACCCGCCAGCTTTGGTTTAGGAGATGTGCGGTTTATGCTACGTTTTTCGATTTCTCCGCATTTCTGATACGACGCACTGTACAAAGTGTTCTAACGTTACACTCATTTATTTCTTAATTGGTCACCTAGACTTCTTTCGGGTTTTTATATTTTTACTCATTTCATTTTTACTTCTAAATCCCCGGACAGGTAAGAAATTGTTTGGAAATGTTTTTTTTTTAGCCTTCTGAGAGAAAAATCCAGATCCATGGGCGTTCGGTAACTGCGTCTCTTAGTGTTCATGCCCCGGGATGTAATGAATAATAGCTGTTCGGACTCTATTATATGCGACTTTTCCATACTTTTCGCGACATAAACAATAAATTATTCAATATTTGTATGTACAACGCATGTGTTTTAGAAACTATTTACATTCATTTCTGTGGTTTAGTATTAACGCAATTTTCGTAAATTTTATTTTTACAGCTAATTTCTATTTATTTCTGTGTGTTTATATTGAGATAATTTGTATAGAGATTTTGGTTAGTGTTAGTGCGTTATTCGTTGAAAAAAAAAATGAATTTACTAAAATAATTCTATGAAGAAGTTTCAAATGCTTATCCTTTTGCAGAGATTGTAAGTTTCAAGGCTTATTTGATGAGAAAATTAAATTAGCTCCTAATAGCCTTGACGTTTGGTGAGTTAACTAGAATTTAATTCCCATACCTCCGCGTTATCGGTCAATCGAATATTTTTACTGGGAAATATAGGTTCACTTAAAATTTTAATTATATCAAGTCGGAACGTCACCGAGTGAGTAATACGATAAGGGCTTATTAAAAAAAAAACGGAAATTCGTATTTCATCGCTTTTAATAGAAAAGTTATTAGTCATACATTTCGCATTCATTTCACACAATTACTATGACGAATCGAACAAACGATGAAATCATCGATTCGTCTCTGCCTTATCACAGTTATGTATAAATGTGCGACAGGATCGGAAAAGTATGATTTAATGATTATCCATTTTATATTAAGCAAACGGATAACTTATATTTTGCAACTTTTACCATTTTTCTCTGTGTCAATAATTTATGTTTTATGTCATTACGCTAGCTTACCCTACACGTATACATACATATATCCAAGCTAAATGGAATGTTAAATTTCCTGACTAAGGCGTGCAATTTTTTGTTCTCCAGAATTATAGTTTTGCCGCTTCTGATATTACATAGTAAAAAACATCTAAGCACGGCGATAACAAATATTGAGACGAAGCATATTCATTTTTCTGAAAGTATAAATCTTCGAAAAGTCCATCCGTGTGTTATCAATTTACAAAAACTTGTACATTTTCCTACAAGCTTAAGGATACCCACTAAGTGCGGCATGGATTTCGGTATCGACAAATTTGATATTACTAGAGAAAATAGAGATCCGTAGACTCTGTTATCATGAATTTCAATTTGTTTAGTAGAATCAACTAATTCGTCGTTACTTGCCGCCACTAGAAAGAGCAATATTATATTCCGAAAGTAAAAAATGAAGGAGGGCAAAAAACTTTTTCTTTTGAATTCCCGACAATCCAAGTTGGCGCTGAAGAACTTTTTCTCTCCGCACCTTCAGTCGCATTTCGATTATAACGATGCATTCGTTAAATCTACATTTTAGAAGGTAATTTCCTTGAATGATTAGAAATCATCGTCTTTGTCAGCTCGTTTGTAAAAGGCACGAGAATATGTCGCGGGTCCTTGGGTACCGCAGAAAAAGAACCCTTTTCGCCAGAAGACGAAAAGAGCGAGAGACACAGGAACAGCCAAAAGAACTCCGATCAATATGCCGATCAATATCGTGGCATCCTTTTCTGGACGAGCGTTGTATAAATCGAGACAACGGAGGTGTCGATGAACCAATGAAGTAAGATTTTTTCCCTTGTGTTCGGGTGGCGACGAGCAACTCAATGTCTCCACTTCTTTTCCCATTAATTGTGGTGCCAAGTTAGGGAGAAGTGATCCAATCTGTTTAACAAATCATCGAAAACGATAAATTATGCACCTGAGCTGATAAAAAGGAATTACTAGACTTATTTGATTTGTGAAAAAATTATCTAACAGTTTCTTTGTCCAATAAAGTGTGCTCTAAAAAATATGGAAGTATTTATCTTGTCTATGGTTTGCGTGTGTTGTAAAAGCGATTAGATATTTACACACCATGAACTGATTTTCACAATCACAGCTCCACGCATTGTTCGTCAGGGACAATTTCTCGAGTTTGTCCCATCTTCCGACCAAATTAGCCGGCAAATATCGTAAAGCGTTGTTTGCAATTTCGAGTTTTCTTAGAGGTGGCCATATAGCTCCTTCGAATGACTGAAATACAATAAATTGTGTTACTTATGATTTTAAGCGCATCGGTGCAGCGAAGACTGTTCATCAAAACAGTTGATTTTGGTCCTGATATTATTGTGTATAAATTGAATAGATGTGATTCCGACAATGTACTAAATTAGGCATTGTATACGACGCCCGAATAATGTGTAAAAAATAGTGCACCTTACCTAAATTTATCACATTATCAACAACGTATATACTGTTGACTAAAAAGTGTGTAATGAAAAATGTTATTACGTTACAAAATTCAGCACCTTGTTAATGAAAGCATCTTCGTCTATTTCTGATAGCTGAGGACAGTTTTCCAAACGAAGGTTTTCCAGCATAGGCAATTTGCCAAAAGCTCCGCTGCCAATTCTCGTTAAACGTGACATGTGGCAGATGCTTAGTTCTTTAAGTTGTGGCATTTCCGGAAAACCATTATCATCGTCGATAATCTCAATAGGATTGTCATTTAAGCAAAGGTACTCCAAGGACTTGGCATCTTCTAAAGCCGCTGGAGGAGTCTTTAATTTATTTCCTTGCAGGTGAATTAGTTTTAAATGCCTAAAAAAGAAAATATATTAATACTGCGTTAAATGTATATTTATACACTGGGTGTGGGCGTGCACATAAGTATTTTTATTTTAGGTGACATATCCCCAGATTTTAATATGCAACCTGCAACGGCCATCCGAAAACAAAACACTTTACTTTATTAAAATTACTTGAATAACTTTGAAAGTTAAGTCAATTTTTATTTGTCCAGATACAAGATGAAATATTAATCCTTAGATAGCAAGCCCACTTTCATCGTACATTAAAAATTCTCTCTCAAAAACTTGTGTTCATTTATTTTTACTTTTTGACTGAAATTTTACGGAATGCTACATAATTCTGAACTTCAAAAAATTATTTATCTTACACTTTCTGCTTCCCAACTAATAAACCTGTATAATTTCAATCAATAGCATAAATATTCAATAGTTTTATCAAAATTATATGATTTGTGAATGAGTATTTAATTATTTAAACAAACTTACTTGGGTGAATGAAATAAGTGGTCCGAAATGCTTTTCAAGTTGCAATAGCTCAAGTCAAGTTCTTCTAAATAAGGAATGCTACTGATTGCTAGTGTCGTAGATTGATCAATTACGCTGAATGGATTACCATCGAGAGACAGGACTTTAAGATTTGTCAAATGTTCGAACAAGTCTTGATGTAACTTATGAAGTTGATTATGCCCCAAATTCAGAACAGTTAATTTATCTAAGGGCTCATATAAAATTGGAGAAAAATGTCCCTGAAAAATTGGAAGAGCAATTACTATGCATACTTTTTTTTATTAAATGACCGGCTTATGTAGTTGAGTGCTTCATTAAGTCTCATTATGTTTGAGGAATCTCTATTGTCATAACAAAATAGTTACAAAAGTTTAACGTAATACGAATTTTATTTACAAAAAAGTCCCAACTTAACATTAAACGAGAATACCGGAACTACTAATACGAAAATACAAGTACATGGAATTAAAAATAAATTTCAATTACACTTTGCATAGTCGCACAGAATTCCTTTGAGTTTAATTTTCACTCGAATGTTAATATTTTTAATACGCTTAAATTTTAATTGTTTAAATACCCCACAATGTTTCAAAGATTTCCCCAAACATTCTAAGCGGTATATAACATGCAAACACGTTAATTAATTTTATCTTACTTGGAAAGCGTGAGGGGACAACAATTCGTACGTGAGATTGTTGTAACTCAAATCCAACTCGGTGAGGTTCTTCAGATTGACGAAAGTCAGATCGTCTATTTTGGTTATCTGATTTTCTTTGAAAATTAGCTTATCGACCGTGATGTCAGGGAATATCGTGAGATGTACCAATTGATTCCCTTGGAACGTTATCGTTGTCACTTCGATTTTGGGCCATTGGGAAATCTCAAAGGTGGTCGTCAAGTTCCGATTCGAACAGTCAACTTGAGACTCTGCAAAGCAATCAGACGCTTGAAAATAAACTCTGCTTTATCAAAAATCAAAGGTAAAGAATACTTTTGCGACGGCTGTTATTGGCTGGCTGTGCCGTTTTAATTAAATCGAGCTTTCAATGCGTATCGATCCTATCACCGGACGAATATATCCATGTCGCATCGACTCGGCCATGTTTCCATTCTCGGACAATCGACGTGTTTTTTCCGTCTAATGTCAACTTGTTCGAATTTTGCCACGTAAATGCTAACTCTGCGTAGTTCTCAACCCCAAGAAAATATCTTACCTGACAATACAACACAAACGACGACAGGCAAATAATTTATTGAAACAGCTAATGGGACATAAATACTTTTGTATAAGTGATTTACCTCTAAACTAATGATACAATTATTAATGCCACTGTTCATTGCAATGTTAATACGAACTTTTCTCCGATAATTTAAGAATCTATTAGGAATTGGCCTCCGAACAGTTTATAACTAAATTATCTGAATCCAATATTCGTATACTATAAGATAGCTCTGTCTCTTGACTACAGAAATTATGTCAAAATTCATGCAATGAGAAAAACCACTCTCGGGATTGATTAGAAAACGATGAACTGTTAGAGTAGATCGCAACAATTTTGACTATTGGTGGAATTATTCCGGCAGTGAGAGGAAAAATCTATCGGCAATGTTATCATTTGTTAGAAATGCAAATTTCTTTCTTCCCGTGTTATGCAATCTGTCAGAGTGACGATTTCTGTAAATCTAGGGTCAACCATTTTCAATGCAATTCTCTCGAGGCGAAGAGAACTTCTTTATATAATAAAATAAGGAATCGAGAAAAGATTTAGTTTAAACGTTACAAATCATACCTGAACACGAGCACACATCGCACAACTTGGAAAGTTGAACTGTCGAGATCGTGGTCGAAGATACATTAGAAGTAAGTACTTGCTTGAAGGATTCTGCACTTGACGCTCCGAAGAGGGTACAGACCAGAAGAGCGAAATGGACGAGCATATTTCCTCTGGAAAACGGCCCGTGTCGTCTTTTACTGCGATGTAAAATCGGTCTGTATAAAATGGACCTACCCTGATAACGAGTGGTGATAAGATATCGTTCCCGGTAGCGTTACTCATCGAATGAGCCAGGTGAGTTGAAACGAGGCGTGGCGAATTGTCCCGATGCCTTGGGGACGATGTCTTCTCCATGTAGCGCATCCCCATATAGCTCACTTATTTATAACGTGGTAAACAAAATTGGATGGAGGTAATATATGGTACATAAAAGGTGCTGCTTATGGAATAAGGCACGAATAAATGTTTAGTTTATGTCATGGTTTCAAAGAAAATGCACTACGAGGATAGCTACAACTTTTTTTAGTGAGCCAGGAGAAACAAAATGGAGTGTAGCAAGTTATTTTAATAGAAGCTGGAGAGGAAGATTTGTGGGCTTTGTAGATTTTTGAATAACGTTCCGCTCCTCCTCGTTGTTGAGCGGGCGATGAGAATTGTAATTAAAATAGCTTTTCAAAGTTTTTAACGCTTTACCCCAAGCTTAGATTTCATGCGACTATGCTAGAGACATTTTAATTTCAAGTTTGTTTTAACATTCATTTTCCTTGAAGTATAAAAAAATCAAGTTTCACTTTCACCTGTAAACCAGGGCCTATTAATGTTCAGCTTCTGATTTCCATGTATTACCGTGTACGATATTCAGTATATTATAACTGCGAGTATGTATGGAAACATCGAGGCCTGGATAGGCGTTTGAAACTTCCCGCGCTAGAGATTTGCTCTGCCGATAGCGACGAATCTGCGGACGCGCCGCGAAGGTGGCGCCACTCGCCGGCGCGACGGCGCAGCTCGTGGCGAAGCCTCGGGGAAAAGTATTGAATCAATGACGTCACAAAAGACGAGACAGTGGAAGGAGTAGACGGTAGGCGGTGCGTTGAAAAATGTCCGATTATTTTAATTTATCGTCGGCGTAAATAGTCGTAAACCTCGACGTTCTCGGGCGGCGCGGGAGTGATTTATTTGCTGGCCGACCGCCGGCAGTGGAATCGCTCGGGCGACACGTGGACTTTGGGTGAGAGCCGCGAGTGGACCGCGGAGTCCGCCGTGTCGGCGCCGAGGGAAATCTGAAAAATAAAAGGAGCGGAGGCGCGTCGGGCGGCTCGGAAGGGACCCGTCGAGATCGGCGCCCCTCAGCACGGCGGAGACTCGGTAAGCGCATTCGGTGCACCGCGCCGACCAGCCATAACCTAACCGCCCGGTCGGGGACCGCGGGCTCGCCCGATCTAGATTGAGGTTAGGTAGCCGCTCGCTCGGTGTGCGCCGCCTCGGGCGAAAAACTCGCTCACCGCGCGCACTGAAGAGATAGTGAACGCCCATTTCTCGCGCCGTGGCTTGACAGAATTGCAGATTGATGCGATCGATATCGCCGAGGGTCCTCCGAGGAAGAGGCATCCGAAAACGACCCGTCCTCGCCGAGAAGGAGCGCGGCGATCCTGGCAAAGGTGCTGACCAAAATATGCCTGGCACTCTTACTCTTCTTTCGACACCCTGGACGATGTTAAGCGATCTAATTGGCGATCCGTTGCGCGAACTGACTTCTAACTAGGACCGATGTCGTAGCATATCTTTTGTGAAGAAACCCGAGACCTTTTGCAAGTTAACTTGCGGTACTTTCTTGTTTTTTTTTTGGGAGAGGCAAAACTGGTTGATGACTTGAACCTATCACGATGAACCTCCTGGGAGTAGATAAAATGTTTTTGCCACTAACGTCATATATGATTTATGTAAATATCTGGAATTGGTAAATAATATTTATGGTTTGTTCCGTGGTGAACTTGTATCAAAAATTGATAATCGTGGGTAGGTGCATGGAATCGGAATACTAGATTCCCACCTTTGTATTGATTTCAACATTTCGAGTCATAGGATTTCAAGGGTTGAGCTCAAAAGAATTTTTATGTAATTGCTCTCTTATTTTCGCTGCTTTGTAAGTATTCTGTACTATTTTTGACACGTTTAACATTTTTGATTAAATGAATGAGTTTAAGAATTACTTACAATCAAGGTTCCACAAAATAAAGAAAGGACGATAGATGAAGTTTAAATTGCAATTATGCATTAAGCAGATTCTTCAACTTAATGATTCATTGGTGTTGTGTCTTGAAAATTATCCATATTTAACGTCAGCGTGATATAAGTTTAATTGCAAAACACTAATTACATAAGTATACTACCGCCGTTTGCCAAAATGGTCATGTAGAATATCTACAAAACTTGGGGCAGCACATAATTTACTAATATCTTCAATTAATCATTACACCAACTCTTTAGTTTCATTGGTACATTAGTGATACAAATATTTATCCTAATATTACGTGAGTTATGTGATAACGTAACTGTAGCCTATTACCAAGAAGGAATTATCTTAACGAATAATTTTTATCAACTATCGCAACAACTTTCCGCCATTAAAGCTCATGCATAAATGCAACAGCAAGGTATTACAATATTGTCACACTGGCATATTTTGCATAATAGGTCAAAGAAAAAAAAAACACATTGTCAATAGCTGGGGAATGTTTGTTACAGAGCTTCGATTCATTAAAGTTCATGCATAAACACAGCAGCAAGAGAATATTGCAATATTGTCTCACTGGCATATTTTGCAGAATAGGTTAAAGAAAAAAACAAGTATTATCAATAGCTGGGGAAAGTTTGTCGCGGAGCTTCAATCCATCAAAGTTCGTGCATAAACGTAGCAGCAAAATATTGCAATACCGTCTCACTGACGTGTATTGTGCAGAATAGGTAAAAGAAAAAAAAAAAATATTTTCAATAGCTAAGGAAAGTTTGTCGCGGAGCTTCGATCGACATGAACAAGGACGTCCATGGCGATCATGCTTCCGAATAGAACGCAGCCCCGAGATCGGAAATATAACCGACGATAAGCTCGCTTCCAATAGCTGAAATCCCGTCGAAATTATAGGTTAGCCCAAATGCGCGTTCTCGCGTCGCGAAAAGAGAACGCGCGCGCACTCTTAATAAATCGTGAGGAAGGGTCGCCAGTAGCGTAATCGTCGCATCGCCGGCCCCTCATCTAAAATATTCCGTATAATTCTCGTGATTATTCTGCCGGATAATCCTCCTACGTCTAAAGCACACCTTTCGTATGTGATAAATTTGTCCAATTACGACAGAAGATTCTATTACTTAAAATTTTCTTTGCCCACCTCGAATGTTAGGCTCGAAACCGAAGCGCTAGATTGAGGACAATTTTACAATTTCCTTAAACAGAAATGGTTACATTTTGTTAACAATATCAGGTATTTCTGAATGTTCTTAAGTTTACGGCCCGACGACTTAGCCGACTCGCAGCTTGTTTTTAATCATAATTATATGTATCGACGCAATGCTTAACGTGTACCGTGCAATTGCAGTGTTCCGTGGTTTTTCTCGAGGTTTCGTCGGGGACACGGGGACGTGCGTAGAATCGTAATTTCTCGAGATAAAACCAATTTGCGCCTTGGTTGCGATTACGCAAAAGTAAGGAACAACGGAATCCGTAGTCACGTCGTTATTTACAGAATGCCGTGATAAATGCGTACCACCCGGAAAAAGAGAAACGATCGATCAATGTGCGAGTTTATTTCACATGCGTAGGATCTATTTGAATAAGCAAAGCAATTTCTAGTCATTTTCTTATAAATCATCGTGGTTTCAGCTCCTTCGTGAACTTTGGCTATCCCTGTATCATCCTATCACTGATACCGTAAAACCCGCCGCATCTTAAAAGGTATTAAATAACCGCCCAACCAGAACTCGTTAACTAACCACTGTATATCACTAGTATAGCATTGAACATTTTCAAAGAATCTTAAAATCCTCGTAATTCCTTCTCGGAATTCTTGAGAACGGTTTGCCAATTTGCCGTCACTTGGTATCAAAAATAACAAAAGAAAGGGTTGAATGGAAAATTATACCGAAAAGTTCTTTTATTCGCTGTTTGCCTTTTGAGGTGATTTATTTTTTCTTTTATTTTTTTATTCGAAAATTTCCTAAAATTGCCTCGGCATTTGCCGGGGCCCCTGGCGACTAGTTGCGGCCCTGGGCCCCGGCAGGAGCAGCGGCAACACAACACCGGCACCGGCAGCGCCCGGCAGTAGCTCCGTAGTTTTTGCTCCGCCCTCTTCGCATGAAAATGATTGTTCTGGCCTAAGGCGGGCCGGTGAGCCAGCACTTTATCTGTTATCGACGTCCGAGTGACAGACCACGGTCGCTCTGGGAAAAATCTACGGCCATTTGCGACGCCCCCGATGGAACGGGCGCCAGCGTGAGCGTCACCTGCTGACGCGAGCGGTAAACATCGACTGCGACTATATACCGGGGGTCGGACAGTGACACCTTGCGGCATCCTAGAGACACGTGGGGTACCCCCTTCGCGTCACGTTCGACGGCTTCGTATCGTCGCCATTTTTATACGATTTTTCATCCGCTCCTGGGGTCCACGAAACCAACTCTTATAATATTTAAACGCGATTTTCGATACCGACAGTGACGCGTGGTGTTTCAAGTTAATTGTTCGCGTTAACATTGAATTAACAAAGTGAGGAGCTGTGTGGTGGTAAACAAGCCTCTTTACTCGGACAGCGTGGGAAATTTCATGGAAAGGGGTCTTCGAGGGGGCATGTAAATGTTTTTTAATTTTCATTTTTTTTGTTGTACTTTTATCCTATTTCAAAAGTGTGTGATTATTGCTTACGATTTTTTTCCGGCGGCCTTTTACGGTTTCTCAGGGTTCAAACGTGGGGGAAAAATCGCTGGGTGGAGGAATGACTGAAATTTGAAAGATGTGATATCAGATAAGGTGCCAGGTTCACTGGGACGTTTTATTTTTTTCTTCGAAGTGAAGTGACCTGGGGTAAGTAGAATGGCTGGAGATAAATGATATTCGCGGGCCGGACGAAATGCCGCTTTCGTTTCTTTCGTTTTCAGTTATTCCATAAATCGCGGTTTAATTAACTTTTTATTACCCAGGTTTTGCCTTCAAGCCAAGAGAATTTGATATAACGTGATGTTTACAAATGTTAACGGTTTATTTGTCAATTTACTATTTTTATGCATTTTTATGAATTCAAATCTTTGTAAATATATGATTGATTTAATTCCTTGATTACTTTAATAATAAGACGTTAAGTTTCATCGAAGAATTCAATAAGACATAAAAAATAATAAATGCACGTGTGACTTCTCACGTGGCACGAGGGTTAAATTTGTAGGACATAATTTTATTGACGTCATTAACGCGATATGAATGATTCATTCTATATATGTACCCATCATTGTGAAAGTGGTCTAAGTCAAAATTAAAAAAAAAATGAGTTTATCAGTTATTTCACGCCATATTATTTCAAACGAAATTAATTCAATGTAATTTCGAAACAAAAAATATATGACTTAGACCACTTTCATAATTATGGGCACATATATATTAAACGTGAAAATATTTATAAAACTTTTCGCCAAACTGAGGGTATCGTATCATTTAAAACTTCAGCACGTGATTATGAAGGCCTTAAGGAAGAACGCAGTGCTCGTGAAATTTCATTTCTCAGAGGCTATGAGGAAGGTCCTGAACCCCATGAAATTTCCATTTTTTAATTATTTGTTTATGGGTATTTTCAACCATTTTAACCCTTTGAGGACGGAGCTCTTTTGACATATGGACGATATTCATGAATACGTGCAAGTAATATTGGACCAAACGTCGAACGCATATATGCGGCGGTAGTCCGCAAAAAGTTAATAACAAATGGAATTTTGCTAGTTTCAAGACTTACCTTAGGGTCTCCTTATTCATGTGGTATAATTTGAAACAAATAGGTACACCCAATTCGGAGGAAAGTTACATGAACGACATCCCCTTAAATCGAGTTTATCCGAAAGTACCGAGCCCATGGCGTTACTGTGATAAATGCCGCAGTAAATAAGTGCGGCCGGCAATTCGTTCCGCGAGTGGCTGGTAATCGTTTCGCAGTTCGTGGCATTGTGGTCGCGTCTCGTCTCGTCTTCGGACATCCTCTGCAGCGTTTTCGGTTCGGGCTTTTCGGAGGGTCCGATTGCAGATGTGCGCATCACAATGGGCGGTAATAAATAGCTCGCAGCACCTGCTTAAAAAAAAGGCACGTAAGTCTTGACGAGTTGTTTTGACTCTGGGACATTAAGAAGATGCTTTCCGAATTTATTCGTATAAACCAGGGGTGTCCGACTTGCGGAGCTGGACAGGTAGTAATGCGACCTCAGGGTGTAATTGACCTTGTCATTTTTTAAGGGTTTGGGTGATTTTTATCCGCATTTTTTACGATTCGATTGCACGAAGTGTGCACGAAATGTGTGAGATCTTCAATCGTGTGGCCGAATTCTAAACAAATTCGATCATGCATCATTAAGGTGAAGTGAAACACGTCGAGGAACTTGATCGACGTCGATAAAGAAGATTTTTCTAAATACCTACGTTGCCGAGGTTCGTTTTTATATTGACAGCTGTGTCGAATTATATTGGGTATTGCACTAAATGGCATACTCCACCTATCGTTTTCGTACAATAATTATAAAGAAATCGAAGTAAAACTGTAGAAATCCTCTGGATTCATGCTTTCTGTTGAGAAATCCAAATTTTCATTGTGTCAGGACAGTTCTTAGATGATCAGGAGTGATGTGTCAAAGTTTCGGACAGTTTGGTCCAATATCCTTAAAAAAAAAGTGTTGTATTCGAATCGACTTATTCGAAGGGGGTTTCACTTCACCTTAAGAAAAAGTTTATCCACGGAATTTGGTCGGCGACCTATCGGTACAAAAACGTGTTTCATATTGCCTTAGGAATCGATTTTATAGTTACAGGTAGCAGTTCTTATCTCTGTAACTTATCAAATTTAGGTATTTTTGAAATCTCTCAGAATTAAACGCAAACGCGTGGATTACAAAGATGGTCTTTTTCGGCAAGTAACGTTTGTCCGGGATACTGTTTTCTCATTTAACGACGGTGTGGTTCTCTATTCGGAGCTCCGGTCGAAGATCCGATTAAAACCACGGAGCGGAGGAAAGTCGAGAGTTGAATAAAGGGAGAAGTGGAGCCCGAGGGGTCGACGGACCTCGCTTTGGGCACGAGGGAGGGTTTCCACTCTCCTTTAATCCAACCCTTGGTCTCGGTCGAGCGATCTGTCCCTCTCCTCGGGCGCTAAAGTGCAATCGCTCGTTTCTCGACTCCGAGATATACGAGATAACGGGCAAAGACGAATTTAATTAAATAACTATTTACGGAGCAAGGATGGATTTTATGAGTTTACATTTTCCCCTATCTTTTTCCCAACGAAGCCCGTACGAGAGGTGGAAGATGTCAAAACGGGCGGTCATGAACCGAGGACAATTCGTTGCTCTTAATTCATCTTTTTGTTTATACAGAAACTAAATAACGGCGTAAATACACAAACATAGTAAATACGCTGGTAAAAATGCCCGGGTGAATGTACATACTCAATCATTGGTTATTTCGATGCCACGTTAAATTACAGTAAAATTACACGGTCTCTGTAGCGTCACATTCAGCATATGAGTTAAATTATGGAGAGGTATAACGTAATGTTACGTTAAATTCAAGTTATGAACTGTGTATAAAATTGTATGTAGATTTCCATTGATTTTTATAAGGGTATTACACCATTTTCATTATCTGCTTTTAACGGGAAACGTACATATGGGCCGTAGAGGTGAACGGCCTTAAGTCTAGATTTGGCCGATGCGGGGTTATTCTTATTTTTATGTCGTTTGATTTGGATCTTATCTTGCGGTTAGTGTACGGAACAAAATTTGCCGCGAGCGAATGCGTTAAGGGGTTACACCACTTTGACCCACCCAAAAATTACGGTTATTCAAGAATTTTTTTTAAGAATTAAAACGTTTTTATCCAAATTAAAGTACAATAAGGTATCATACTACTATTAAACAAAAAAAATGCTTTTTTTGTATTTTTCTTATTTACAAAAATGGCGGCTTGAAAGGCGATTTACCGGAGCGCTGCGAAAATCGATGATCGTGCGGTGGGCACGGTAACTCAGTCCAGGTTTAAGTTAGAACAATAAACGAAAAAGAATTAGTTTCTGTAGCCCAGAAGCCAGCGAAATACGTAGCCGTTTCCAAAAATATGCATTTTTCACAAAATGGCATCAATTTGAAAGGGAAGATACGTATTTTGTCCTAAATTTCGTTAATTAATGTTGCATAAAAAATGCGAATATCAATACATTGACAAAAACCATACGCATTTCGCTAGATAATCATATCGCGAATAAAATAAAAGAAGAATCAAGACGATTGATTGAAAATTGGCGGAGCTAGAGTGCCCACCGATTTTTAAAATGCAGTTTTAAGAAAAACGCGTTTACACCTATACACCTGCCCACCGCACGATCACCGATTTTCGCAGTGAGCGAGTTTAATAGTAGTATAGTACCTTACTGTAACCCAATTGGATAAAAACGTTTTAACTCTTACAAAAAAAATTCTTGAAAAAACCGTAATTTTTGGGTGCGTCAAAGTGGTGCAACCCCTTAATGTTGTTTCTGCCTCAAACTGGATTCCAGGTTCACGCAGCCCACTTTTGCGCGCATCAGCGCTACTTCTCGGGCGCCGGTTTCCCGCGACGCCGACGGGGCTTTTTCCGGATCGCGGTCTCGTCCGGCGGGGGAGCGTCGCGCACCGGCCGGCCCGGCGCGCTAATCGATCGCGCCTATTCTCTCTCTCTCTTCGTGCCGCAGTGGCGGCGGCGACTCGCCGTTTTCCTTGCGCGTTATTCGGCGCACCGATTGCAGTTGTTCCCATCGGCGAATATGCATTATTAACTCGGGCGAAAGCGCATTGTCATGAGGGGGGGGAGGAGGAGGAGGAGGAGGAGGAGGAGGAGGAGGAGAAGGGGTGTTAATTTAACCGGACCGCATTTCGGCTATCCGGATAATTCCCGTTCGGATTTTGCCACGCGAGAATCCGTTTCATTGTTATTATTACTTTTTTCGGTTTTTCATCAGGCTGTTTGATTGGGGTTTATTGATCGTTTCGAGGTGGACCGATCCTTGAGCATTTTCTGGGGGAAGGTTCGCCCAGGATGTCGTGGGTTTTAACGCTTGAAATCTTGCGCAGATCGGCTGGAAACCGCGAGCGGAAATCACTGGATATCGTTGGGGGAATCGCCGACACCATAAGTAGGATAAGGAGACATAACGCTAATGGTCGATTCCACCGGAAAGTGACCCCAGAATCGGGTCCCGGAATCTCAGATTTTGCGCTAATCTAACTACGCGAGCGCTACTTGCGGAATATAAGGGAACTCCGATCCTACGTGACCGAAAACATTTCCTGCCTACGTAAATTATCTAAAATGCTTTTAATCTTGAAATTAAGGTACGAAAAGCAAAACTATAAATCGCGGATGATGGGCAGAATGTGATGTTTTTACGCGATAAAGACTAGCAGACTCACTAGCAGACGATAATTTTTAATAGCATAATTTCATCGAGGAGGCGCACTCGGCCCTTGATAAAAAAAAAAAAAAAGAAAGGAAAAAATAATATAAAATCGGAAGATCTTGGACCTCTAAAGTGGGGACGATTTCAATACATGTATCTCATACTACCGAA